AAAAAAAATTGAATTTTTCGCGAGAAGCAGAAAATCGACACCATAAGCTTCCTATCTGTTTTTCATCCCGTAGAACGAGCGGGAAGATTCACGTGAGGCTCGATAGCAATGTTCTTGGGGAAAAAGAGGATATCCCACAGGATTGAGAGAGATAGGAAAGATCAATTTATACAATATATTTTTTTCTTTCTTTATATTGCTATGAGATATAAAAACTAAGATAAATCCTTACAATTATTGAGTACATCTGAACATTACATTCATACAATTAAGCGTTCTATTAATGGACATTAGTCTAGTGATCAAATTTATGTTCATCATAGAATAATATTACTTATTGCGAGTTTAATCATCTGTAATGAATGAATAATTGATTACACGCATATTAAGTTTAATAAACCGTAAATTTAATTATAATCCGTCATTAAATAATAGTTCTATAATGCATCATACGATGTGTGTGTGCGCCCATCCAAACACAATTTGTAGAGTATAATAATTTGTTGAAAATTGTTTCTTTTTGAAAATTCTAGCTTGTGTCTTGTCGCCTGCAGATATTGTATTACTCTGAGGAGGTCAACCCCGTAGTCTCGACTGTAAAGCCAAATGCTCGACTGTATTTCTGTTTACATTCTCCCGTGAAAACGAATTTCCTGGTACACGACAAACGAAACACGGTATACACATATATATACGGGGTAGAGAGTTCGTTGGCACTTAACCTACGTTGCAATTTAATGTTTTAATTTAGCTTTGAATTTTTCAACGGATCCATTTACTTACTTAAGTATTAAATAAAACATCATTTTCAATCTACTATCCGAACAGTTTGTACATATGTATTTATTACATCCACAAAATGTGAGTGCAAGATTCCTTATGCAACGACTTATAATTCAGCCGATGAAAAAACTAGAAGAGAAAAATAATGTCTTCACCAATGCAATACTAAAAGATTATGTTTTTGTATTTACATTAGATAAAAAGTGGAAGGAGGAAAATCCGATACACCGAAATACCGTTCGAAGGTAGGAGCTGAAAATGGAGGTGAAAAGGTTGAATATGATCGTCGAAACTACACGCTGCATAAATATGGCAAAGCGTGTAAATGTGCTTGGATCACTCGGAAACTTGTAAAATCGTGCGGCGAAAAGGAGGTAGGGGTTGGAAGGGCAAGCACTGTGACTCTTCCTCTCTTATTTCTCCACCTTATGGTAATCGCCATAGCTATTTGCGTCCTAATATCCCGCGTGAACGCTCCTCGTAAAACTCTTTTCGTCGGCTTTTGTAAACGCGCTGCTTGCATTTAAAATCGCATTTAAAATCGCATTTTATGGAAAACTCTTTTACTACGAGCAACGAAAAGTAAGAGATAGAGATAGAGAAAGTGAAAAAAATATTCATAAGAATTCAAACATTTACTGACCAACTATACGCGTGCTAATACTTTATACATAATATTTTGCACGATTTATTTAACCCTTAACATCTGTCTAATATTTATTAATCTGTTAGAAATTTATTTATCCGACTAAAATATTTAATACAAATTTCCAGATCTGTTCCTATTACCTTAATAAAATAAAAATATAAATATTACGTTACAAATGTTTAATAAAATAATTCGTACAAATATTTGCTCGCAAAAATGTAAGAAAAAGTGCAAGAAAAAGTAAGGAAAAATATTGTCCGCTCCTTGTATTTGATACCTTCTACTTTCTTCTCGGACGAAGACAATACATTATCTTCAAACGAACATTCAAATAAGAAAGTTAAACTTTATCACGAATGTATATACGTATGTGTGCATATGCAGATATTGTATATGTAAGAAAATCATACGATAGAAAGACAGATTTACATATATAAACTTTTTATGAATGACTTTTTCGTTGGAGAACTCGATTTCATTCGCGTGCACGTATGCATTGTCTGGAAGCAAAAGAGTGAAAGTGAGATAGAGATAAAGAGAATGGGAAAGGGAAAGTGAAGATTGTTTTATTTTTTTTTTCGCTAACCTTGTCATTGAAAGAACTGCAATTTCTCTAGATATTATATATGTGGGGACGAATTTATGTAGGTTACGCGCATACGAAAATGTCGGTCAAACTCTAGCAGGTAAATTCTGGTAGGTAAATTCTAGTAGGTAAAGCCTTCGAGTTAGAAATTTTTACCCAAGAAGAGAGAGAGAACAATCTAACTAAGAATATATTTCTACTTTTGACTATCTCGAATAATCGGAACGACGAAAAATTCGATTAAATATACAACAAATAATTTGAAAATGCGAAGTAAACAACTTTGTAAAGTTTTCAGTGAATTCGAGAGCGGAGACGTTAAAAGATTGCATCAAAATTACATAAAAATTGATTTTTATATTATCGAAGGAATATATAAAACCTTTAGAAATCCGAATACGTCAATCATATAGCTGATAGGTGCATAATAAGTTTTTACCCGAAGAAGTATATTATAAGAAAGTTTGACCACATTTTTCTTTGCCCGTAATTTTCTATCGTTCTTGACAAATTTCTAAACTCTTGGAAAAAGATCGCGTTATTCCTACAAAATATAACTCTGGGAACAGGAACGTCCTTGGAAAAACGTACCTAACCATTTCTCTCACTTTTTCTCCCCTTCCTTTCAATATCTCAAGCTCTTTCTTTCTTTTTCTATTTCTATGAGAGTTTTCCAAGTTGATATATCCGAATCGCGTGCAAAACCTGGTCCTAAGACCAGCTCTCTCTCGCATACACCAACTCGACGAATACATTACGATCGATAGTTTTCAAAGGTGTGGATTTTTGAAGGAAATGCGATTTTCCCATAGTATCTGAAAATTCAATTTTCCCTGGACCCTATTCCCCCTTTTCTCCTCGGCCAGTAACTACTATCCTAAACCCTCGTAGAGTGGAACTGCGTGTAACGAATTTGGGAAAATGTTTTATTTTGACTCCACACAATCGAACGGAAAATATAGTTTTAAACTTACGTTAGAAATTTATCTCTTGTCTAGCTGTAATCCTTTTAATCGTATGGAAAGTTCGAAAGAAAAAAGTAGCCTAAAGTCTTGTTCAGAAAAGACTACTACTAGGATCGAGATCAAGAATAACAGTAAATACTCGGATAGTAAGATAGGTGGATCGAAGGAAACGTAAATATCTGGTAACGTGTGATACGAAATTCTTTCTTGGTAACTCGAGTAGGTTGCTTTCAGCATCGAATCTCCTCTGAAAGAAAAAGAAATAAAAAGAATGATAGAGAGAGAGAGAGAGAGAGAGAGAGAGAGAAAGAGTACTATCGTCGAGTGAGAGTACAGAGAGTTCGCAAAGTGGACGTGAGAAAACGTTCTCTCGTTGCGTTTGGCGGCCGAAGGGTCTATTATCAAGTTGAAAGACACGATAGATATAGCTAAGCACAGCAAACCTTCAGAGAGATCGTATGGGTTGTGTTGAGATTACTGGCTTTATTGAACGATGTAGGAGGCCACTTGTTCCTTCCTATATCGTCGTGTTCTAGTGTTGTTGTCTTCGTCAAGACCTACTTGATAGCTATGACGATGACAAACACCATACTTATGTTAAATGCGTCTAAACAAATTTTTCTCTCCCTCCCAGATCGTTATATGTTATATAAACTTATATAACATATAAGTTATCTAGAGTTATAGTAATTATAATAATAATAAAAGTGTGAGATATATTTGATGGATTTTCTACTGAACAAATTCTATTTCTAAGCTAGATCAATTTATACTCTCGTTCCTTTATGTGAAATCTTTTATAGTTGTACCGTCGTTTCTTAACGTCGTTTCTTAACGTCGTTTCTTAACGACGTTTCACGATCGTATTCTTTTTACTTTTTTTGTCTCTCTCCCTCTTAATACTCATCGGTAATTGAAAAACTTTTCTTTGCTCAAGTTTCCATCGGAAATAAGAAAAATTGTTTCGAAGATAAAATACTTTTCTACAATTACATATAAATTATAATACATTTATAATGAGCTATTACTTACTATAGTAAGTACTTTTTTCTCTTTCGTTATATTTATTATTCAAATATTAAAAATACAATAAATTTCTGATAAATGAAAAAGCACAAGTATATTATATGCGTTATGTAAGATAAATATTGTTAAACATGCCGCATTTATTTTTCATCTTAAACACAGATCGAAAGTTTCGTGATATAGAAAAAAAGAATGGTTGGAGTGTGTTGCGAAAGGAAACGGAAGAAGTAGATAGATAAATCGTTTGAAAAACGATCCTATCGAATCTATGGTAGATAAAACTTTTCAATCGTACGTGCAGTTCGACATGTAAATATTTGTCGAAGCTTACAGGAAGATAAAACGTACTCTCTACCACCGCAGCTAGAAATAAGAAGAAGCGGAAGAAGAAAAAATCATACGTTGCTTTAATATCGCGAACGCAAATTAAACGCAATTCAAACGCAATTTAAATCGAAACAACTCTTTGATTTTGATTACAAATCGTATGATCGGAACCTTCCTACGTGTTTTTTTCTTTCTTTCTTTCTTTTCATTTCGTTAAATTTATTTTATTTCGTAATTTGTGAGTTAATTTTAATCCATCGGTAAAAATAAAATATTACGTTTTGAAAATGAGGGAAAAAATAAAACAGGAAATACATATAGAACGTAATAAAAGCTACTGCGCTTGTTTTTTACTAAAAATGGAATAACAAGAAATATTATTCCATCGGGTAAATAGTAACGTTCCGCAATATTTTGGAAGTATTCTTTTATTTATACTTTTTGGCTTCTCTGGATTATTTATTTTCACGTCCAATAAATGAAATGTATATATATATATATATGTATATATATCGATCGAAGAAAAAAGAAAAAGGAATTATTTCTTAAATATATAATCAGAAGAAATAAATAGATAAATGAATAGTCAATTAAATCGACAAAATATGAGAAATCAAGGCCTTACGTCGTTATTAATTACCAACTCTAATTACCAACAAATCGATCAATGTATAAACATACAAAAAATATATTTGCGTGTATTCTTTCATTCCATTTATTATTTTGGATAGCATCATCGTTTTCGCTGTTTCATCCACGACCGAGTTATTCTCATTTTTGTCACTTTCTCCTATATATCCTTTCGTAGGACTACGAAACACCAGCGTATTGCTGTACAACCTTTGCCCATTCCTTTGGGAAGGATCTTTGAATGTGAGAAAAGACCTTCTTGATTTGACGCGTTTCCTCTGGGGTACATTGTGGACAGGAACCTCTCAAAACCAATGGTGCCAAACCTGAATATAAATAACAATATTAATTATACTATTGCCAACACTATTCTCTACGTTTTTCCTATCGAGCTAACCATTTTTAGATGGACCAACAGTTAAATCTTTGACAAAATAGATAGATATAGAGTAGTCGAATACTGGGGGGAGGAAAGGATTAACGTTTCTCTCGATAATCGCGAAATTGGGAATTTACTTGTCGATATAATGGACGATTTCGATTTAACAATTAATCCGGTACAATTGGTAGGTTCGATCGGTGTGAATGGCTAACCATGTTCAATGCATCGTGAATTTGTAGAGAAGTTCTAAAGAAAACGTTGAAATAGTTAAGTAGAAGTTAGGACATACTTTTCAAACGTCTTCCAACAGGATCGCAAGACGCCTCTCCCAAAGCACACTTCAGTTGTCTTCTCAAGTAACGTTGATCGCTCAAAGCCATGTTTAGTTGGTCTTCGGAAACACGAGATCTTCCAGATTGTTGCTGTTCGTCTGTCGATTGTGCGTTACAGATCAAAACGCACATACAAAGTAAAATCATCTGCAAATATATGTTTAACTTGAAAGACGTAATATTGTAGAAGATCTGCTAACGTCGACAACCTCCTAAAGGACTGATGCCTAAAAAACGGACGAATCTTAATAATCTTGTAGAGCTTGTACGACGCATGTGTAATAGGATTAAACAAGCCAACTCGTTTTCTTGCGTTACTAGACAATAAGCATTACAAAGGGACTTTTTCAAATGGCCCTAACTAAAGGAGAACTTTCAAAACTAGATTCACTTCTTATTTGCATTTTCTTTTTTTTATCTTTTATTTTCTCCTTCTCTTTCTCTGTTATTCTAGTTCTTCGTTTTTAACTTCTTTCTTCCTGTTAAGTAGTTTTAAAGTTTTTCCTTACTTCACTCTATGCATCTAGAATCGAAATTCTCTCTCTCTCACTTTGAGTTTTTTATTTGGTCTTATTAATTTTTACAATTAATTATACGCACATGGTAGGAAAAGTTTGAACGTTTCAAACTATTTTGATTGAATGAATTATTTAATTTCTCCCTAGAAAAAAATACTTACAAAGATGATGCATCACCGTCGTAAAAAATAAATGTTCCGATTAGTAGCAATTTAAATTCCACATATGATACCATCGCATACACATACATGTAAATGTATATATATATTCATTGACATAAGTTTGAAAGGTTCCGTTTCGATCGTTCGATTTCTCGTTTGAAAATCGCGTCATACTAAAAGCCATTTCTCTTTGATATTCCGTTCTAGTAATGTTTCCTCAGCTGGCACTGGCGAGATATCAAGCAAGAGATCGCAAAAGGTATGAATAATAATGTTACGACATATCGTCAATAAAGGTTGGTACTTGGTGATCGTTGGAATCGTTGCTTTCGCGGGCAACCATGGTCGTCGTCGTCGTCGTCGTCGTCGTCGTCGTCGTCGTCGTCGTCGTCGTCGTCGTCGTCGTCGTCGTCGTCGTCGTCGTCGTCGTCGTCGTCGAAAGAAGTGAGACGTGCCGAAACTTAAACCGTCTCTTATTGCGCTACTTCCGAAAGCTATGAATTATACAGAACACGTCGTATACGCGATCGCGATATATAATACTTATTTTCCTTTGTTATCGCACCTATTGTCGGTGTGGTATGAAGAAAAAATAACAAGACCGAACGCGAATTTATAAAATCAAATAGTTATTTGCAACAAGCTTGTTATTACTTCGACATTTCGATATAAATTTAGCTTAAAATTCAACACAAAAATAACAACGCATTTGTTATCGTCGATGTGCACAATACATTCATTGCCTTGGCATTTTATACGAAGCGTAACGAAAGTGCATGCGGGTAAGTACCGATCGTGTCGTGCATACAAGTAAATAAGTGTGTTACGCGTATATGTATGACTTTCAACGACACAGACATTCTTCCATATGAATTCATATCGATCGATCGATCAACTTTTTATACTTCCCTTACATTCTTTGACATTGTTTCCTTTACGAAAGAATAGCAAAAGAACATTTTTCTCTTGTGTGGTGTGTGTTAGGTAAATGTATCTATACAACGTTCTTTCGTCGTAAAACAATCGTCGAATGCTCGTAGATCTATCCTAGCTTATCTCTAAATATATTCACGAATATGCATAGGAGGGGAAATATATTTCTGATACGATAAATCGAACTATCGGTTGGAAATACAAACACTTTCGATCTTTCGATCTTTCGATTTTAGTATACAATAACGATATTTATCGTCTTTCTATCGTTCTATTTTCTCAAAACGTTTGGGAAAATGTAATTCACTTGGAAGCGTTTGAAAATATTCTAAACGTTTCTATGAATTTATTGAGATTTCAAAGAAAAATACGTTTTTAAATAAATTCATAATGCTTGTATGTAAAAATATTCGATTCATAATTATTTTCTAAAATTGAATTGGCAAATAAATTCTAAACTGATTAGAAAAAAGTAAAATATAAAAAATGATATATATATATATATACAAGTGCATGTGCAAGTGCATGTGCAAGTGCATGTGCAAGTGCGAAGGAAGGTAAGGGAAGGAAAAGAAAGGAGAAAAATCTAACTGGAAAGGATCGATCCCATAGGAAAAAGAAGTAAAGGAAGAACAACCACGAAACGAATTTTCTCGAGCAAAGCGAAACAATCGGCCTCGAGCGTGCCCTCGAGCGTGCCCTCGAGCGTGCCCCCTCCCCCTTGAGTAGGGAGAATAGGAGAAGGGTGTTCCCTTGGGGTGGGCCGAAACTTTAAATCACCCGACTCGCTTCCACACACGCAAACGCACGCACACGTGCATTCTACCTGTTGCTCGGCCGTCACCCACCTTGATTGTCAAGCCCATTGCGATACTCTTCTCTTCCAAGTCTCTTACACTATCTTTTGTCTTATTTTTTGATTTATTACTGCCGTTTAATCCTCTTCAGAAGTTTACAGACAAATCTGTTGAAAAATGTCGTTAAATTTCAATTTGTTTCTCGAAATATTTTCACTATAGGCACGAATGATTTTACCGAAGAATTTATATTTTGGTCGATTCGTCTTTTGTCTCTTGCGTCTCTAAGCTCACGTCCTTTCACGGTGAAATCTCAGAACGAACTGGCCCGAACGCTTCGTCCACCCACTTTTCTCCCCCTTCTTGCTCGATAAATACGAAAGTGGTTGCAACCGCGCTCGTCTACGTCACAATCCTTCGCTGACGTTTACTTTACGATTTACCATCCTTTAGAATATTTTTTCCTTATTTTATAATTTTGTATTCGTTATAAAAGCCTAACGTAAAGACAGTGTGTGTACTGCCTAACAAATACTTTATATCTATTCATCCTGTAGACAATAATAAATTATATTATGAATAAAATATCAGGTATAAAATTCTTTCTCTTTCTATAATGAAATTAGTCGAATCGCCACTTTCCATTTTTCACGCTTTCACCATCTCTCTCTATTTCATTTGGATTTTTTTTTCTTGATTTCTCAGCTATACTCTCCAAGAGTTCGAGTAGGGACGAAGAGGGGAAGAAGAGGGGAAGAAGAGGGGAAGAAGAGGAAAGGTGACAGGAGCGGCAAACGCCAATAAACTAGCGGATTTAATAGACGCTCGATGTGGCACACCTAACTCCTCGGCTCGTGTGCGTGTCCGTGACGATAACACCATCCGAATGTTCAAAAGAGAAAACGGAGATTAAGAAAAAAATCATTTCGAGATAGACTAACGCTCCTACGATATAATGCAAATACGACAAAATTCGATTTCTATCGTAATTAGGAATCGTATTAGGAATAAAACAACGATTACGTAATATAACAAATTGTGATTATTTTTCAAACATTTTCAAACATTATTTCTCTCGCCTTGCTCCGAAAAAAAAATAGGCAAAGGAAAAAATATACAAATACATCGTATGGAGAATATATGGAATCCGACAAAGAGGATCAAGAGATAGAAATAGGAAGAAAAGCTAACGTAGTAGGTACGAAATGGTACAGGGGGGGGGGAAAAATCGTACGTTGTATCGATAAAGATTACACGAACCGGATTCGTCGATCCACTTATAAAGCGTACGAGCTCTCGCGGGTGCCAAGGGAATTCCTCCTCCTCGTCGTCGTCGTCGTCGTCGTCGTTCCTGCAACTGCAATTGCAACTACCGTTCCTCCTCTCGTTTGCTTCTTTTTTTCCCCCCATCCTCCACCCGCGTTTTTTCTTTTTTTTTTATTCCGTTCTCACACAGAAAATGGATATCGAAGCGTCAGGCTACACTGCTATACTGCACTATACAATAGATACGTCTACAGGGTGAATCAATTACAATTAACACCTCGAGTAATTACGTTGTTTTTTGGTTTTATGGACAAAATATTCTCTAATTATATGTACATTATCGCGATTGGATTTTCCGCAAATGCGTCCTTGTACTACGCAGCAAAACGAATAGAATTTGTTGACACGAATAACTTGACATTTTTCAAAAACACTGTATCTTGCAAATTAATCATTTCTTTCGTTAACTTTTTAACTCGTAATCAGAAAAATATAAGAAATATAACTGGGAAAATGAAATTTTGTCCACAAAACTGAAAGAGAAAAGAAAAAGAAAATTTCAGGTGATAATAATTGCTAGCTCACCCTGTATGTATGTTCATATGCATGTATTAACGCGAGGGTAAGTACGTGCCTAGGTGTACGTGTAATCTTTCTCTCTCTTTCCCTTTCCGCGCTTAGCGTTTATGCGTGCTTCTCTTTTTCCAGATCCATATCGGCTTTATGGGTGTATGTATGTGTATGTATGTGTAAAGCCACCCTTCGAACGGCGAATTACGTTGCATCGTTGAGATAGGGAAAAAGGATTACCCCGAGAGACGACCAACAGGGTCGACCAACAGGGTCGACCAACAGGGTCGACCAACAGGGTCAACCAACACAGGGTCGTCTCTCTCGACTGGTCTTAATTAGCGACCTTTAAGCTTCATTTGTCTCTCCTAATTTTCATTTTTTTTCTTCTATTCGCCGTGTTTCGTTTTTACTAACTCTTATTTTTCATGTTGGTTTCTTTCGAATTTCGACAGATTGTCCAAAAATTGATATTCCAATTATTTGCTTAGCTATTGCTCAATTTACAATTCATTTATTATATATCGCATCGGTTTTTAATTTAATCATTCATTTATTTCATTTATTTCATTTATTTCTAACGCGTAATATATACAAAAAGAAATGTACTACTTGTCTCTAAAGATTAATGTATTTCTCTTCGTATACAATACTTTTCTTCCCGCTAAGGGATTAAAAGAATTCTAATGCAATTATGCGAAATTACAATAGCTTTATTTTAATCTTCTTGATTGCAATTTAATTGCATTTTGATGTTCCTCGCGAGGACGATGACATGCGGAAGAAAGAAAAGAAAAGAAAGACGAAGAGAGTCCAAAAATATTTTCTCTCTCTTTCACTTTTTTCTCAAACTTTTAGGAAGGATACAAAAATTGCAACGATCACGTAATGCACCTCGTTAATGTTTTCAAAAAAAGACAGGTCAATTTATAAAGAAACGGATTTTCCAAATAAAAGAAAATTTCTTCTTTTTTGTTTGATCGTTTATTCAAATGAAATCGTATCTTTGGCATTCTCATTATTTTGCGACTCCTAATGGTATTTAACTTGTTAATGCGTGCTTTTAATTGAAGTTATATTCTTTTGGAGTACTTTTTACAAAGGAAAATCTACTAAATGTAAAAAGGGATCGATGTAATCGCTGCTTAACATTTTTTAAACGATATTTATTATTAAAATTCGAACCAAGTACAGAAGGAAGGATAATAAAATGTAAAGGAAAAAAATATGTATCTCGATCGATCGATCGAACGTACCGCGTTTCCAGTTAATAACACGCTTTTATCGCATACGAGTCTTCCTTTATACATATTTTGTTTTTTCTTTCTTTTTATATATTCTCTTGACTTTCTCCTGTTGATTTATTTTTCTTTTACCCTTATCTTGATGTTTTTTATTGCATGCCTTGACTAAAATTTAATACCCAGGGAGAATATATTAAACAAGTACGGTAAAACAATCTCGTCTTTGGCGAGATATCGATAAGGACAAGAAGAATTTGCGCTTCGGTCAGGTTTTTATATATTTATTCATTCATATAATAATATTTTAAATAATTTCTTTTTTATCTACATTTAACATACGACGAAAAGAAAGAAAATAAATTCCAAGGTGAAAGTTCACGAGAACGTGTTACGTTCGAACGAACATACTGGTTGCTGTTCGTTCAATGAAGAGAAAGTAGGAAAAGTCCGGTGGCTATGCGAGGCTGAATGGACGAGAGAAAAGAGCGTTCGTTTCCCGGAAACGGTTGCAGTTGGTACAAACATTCACCTCAAATAAGAGACAGAGAGAGAGAGAGAGAGAGAGAGAGAGAGAGAGAGAGAGATGCGCTTCGTAAAGATAATTGTAAGATGAGAACCGATTTTTATACACTTACGCTTCTATCCTGATAAATTGTTAACTTGATTGCGAAGAAAGACATTTTATTTTTGAACAAAATTTGCACCATCACTACATCCCAAAAATGAAATGATAAAATATTTTCAATTGAGATTATTTCAATATATTCGTAAATGAAACTCGTTACAATATTGCAAATATATTTATCTGAACATTTATGTACGATAATTTGAGAGACGGTAATCCATACTATCTCGATTTGTATTAGTATTTATAATTATGCTTCATGAATTTCTTATAATTTTAGGTTTGATCGCGTGAAATCCAGCAGTATTTGATTTCTATTTCGAATAGAACAGTAATGACTAAAATGAACAAAATAAGATTCCTCTCTCTCTCACTCTCTCTCGTGGAAGAAGGATCGAACGATAGTCATGAAGCGAACAGAAATGGTACGTGGCAATCGACGAACGTGATGCAAATGAATTCCGCAAACACGACCCTTCCTGCTATACCTACGTATACTACAGACCAGGCCACAAACAAAAACAGTGTGTGCCAATCAATCCACCGTATATGCGTGTCCTGAATAAGAAACACTCGATTTGCACAAATTATAGGAAAGCCGACAGCATCGAAGCTTTCAGCTAGCTTTTCCTAGTACTGTGACTGAAAGAGTGAGAATAACAATGGTAGAGACATAGAGATAGAGACAGATACAGGAGACACGGATAGGGAAAGAGAGAAAGAGAGAGAACGAGATTGTTTAACATCCTTTTCAATGTGGTTGCTGTCATCGTTCTTGTTGTAACGCAACCAACGTTGATTCTTGCTCACAATAAACACAAAATGAACCCTCTAGATATCTCTCTCTCTATCTTACTTAAATCTATCGCTATTTCTATTTCTCTCTGTATTTCTCTATCTCTATCTGCCTGCCTATTTCTCTCCCTTTCTGTCTATTATACGTCCAAACAGATATGTCACGTTTTTCTCGCTTCTATACACAACGTGATTACCTCCACCAGGAAATATAATAGATTTCATTGGATTCTGGGCTTCGATTTAATATTGAAAATCAAAGTGTTTGTATGTTTATGAAATTTATCGAAACCGAGTCAGATCGATCCTATATTTTGTGTATGCGTCTGAATTTTATTTTTATTTTTCTTTATTAAATAAAAATCGAGATTAAAACGAACACATTGGGAGAGTACTATAAATTTAAAATTTAAACAACAAATTTTCTATCAATACAAAAATTATCCTTCGTATTAAAAGAAAAATAATAAATTAAAGCAAATAAAAAATTAAATCTCTATATGTGTATATATAAATTCGGCTAGTCCGCGAAGACTTCCCTACGATCTGTATTTGGTAAACTTAAGAAACTGGTTTTTCATGTTACAAGTGTTCCTCTCACAATACGTGAAAGCGTCGATAGAAAGCAGCGATCGAATATAAGTAACTGTGTAAGGTACACATGTATAACACAACGCAAGAGTGTACGAACTCATGATAATTACTTTAAAAACTTCCTATACTTTGTTCGATTTACTTTTTTTTAAATGCATTCATCAATCATTGCTAATCAAAACTTATTTGCTAATAATATAATCGACTATAGTATATAACAAAATAAAAGAAAAAGGAAGAAAAATGCTGCTTACATTAGTATTGTCATAGTAAATGGAATACAAAACGTAATACAATCAGGTATGAGTTATGTGTATAACAAAATCGATTGTGGACATAGATACACATGTATTTCTCTATAAAACATTTTCATATTTCCAATTCTTTGTTAATCCGTAATGAAATTTAGTGTCATCAAAAAGTTTTGCAAGCTTCGAGTCTATAGTACAAAAATAAAAAAAAACAAGAGAACCGAAAAAAACACACGCAAACAAAAAATCCCACAGAGAAAATAAATTGCATCCCTTTTTAAGCTTATTGGATGATTATTCTTGTTGAGAAGATATTCATGATGCATGGTAACTCTTTTATCTCGATTTTGAAAGACTACAAAAATATGAGAGAGAAAGACACATATAGATATATGTGTATATATGTTGTATACATGTGTATATATAATATATTTACACATATAACTCAATTCAAAGATAACAGCACACACGTAGCCTTGCTTTGTATCGAACATGACAATTCGCTTCTGTTATATTTTACGATGATTCTAGCTCGTTAAATCCTAATGGAAGATGGCAGAGAGGTGAAACAGCGTAATTACAGTTTTGGAAACTATATTACCTTCTATGTTAGGATGTATACATGGAAAGAGAGAGAGAGAGAGAGAGAGATTCACAGATGCATCTATAGGTACATGCATTTATTATATATAATATCGTATATATATACTTGTATGTGTGAGTGTTTATGTATATATGTGTATTTATATCTGAGAACTGAGAACTATCTGTCCACGGTTGGATGTACACATGAAGCTCCGTTTTCCAGTTGTTGAACCCTACTAACTTGGATAATGTAACTCAAACACATTTCGAGTGACGTGTACAAGCGCATCTAGCTAACCGAGTCTCTTTAAGCAAACGAAACATCAGCAGAAGTCGTGTTTAAAAAATAAATTTTTTATGTGTAGTAATAATATATATATATTTTTGTGTTATTAAAAGTATAAACCTCGTTTCCAATACTCATTAATGAATAATTCTAATCACATATCCAATCTTATGTATTTATTAAACACATATTTTTCCTTTTACATCATTGTAAAAACAAGAGAGATTAACTTAATAACAGAAAGAGTAGGAAAAAATACTAAATAAATAAATGAAATGAATATATTTATCTCACGTAGTACAGCATTCTCATATTTATTTCAACGAAATCAAGTGATGCATCGGAACGTTTAATGAAAATTTCATTTCGCTTCATTTCGATTTAATAGAACGCGACCAAGTTTTGAAAAGATTTTTTTTTCCTCATATTTATTTGTTTTTTATCCTCCTTCATTTCAAGTATACACACACATACATACGTAAGATATATATATATATATATATATAAATTTATCTATCTACAAAATTATCTTTACATATTTACCTATTATCTTCTTAAGATAGAGTGCATCCTATTGATATCACCTAGAAAGATCAATAATGTTAGCAAAAAAAAGTTGGCATAGAACCGCAACAGCAGCAAAAAATGAATGAGTATTTTTAATTGCTCACTTTAAATTAATTAATTATTTCATTAATTAAATTTAATAATTGAAAAATCGAAAACGCTTTTTCTCATTTCTAAGCAAAGCAATGAAGTTTTTTAATTTAATTTTTAATGTATAAACATGTGTGTGCCTTCAGAAATGCATTTATACGTATATTTTAAAATAAAGCAATTTAAGACAGTCAAATAAAAAAGAATCCATAAGGTTTGATGATAAATCCAACGATGATCATCTGTAACAAGAAGAAAACTATATTAGTCATATAATCAAGTGATACAATAGCCACACATGTTTATACATTGAAAATTAAATTAAAAAACTTCATTGCTTTGCTTAGAAATGAGAAAAAGCGTTTTCGATTTTTCAATTATTAAATTTAATTAATGAAATAATTAATTAATTTAAAGTGAGCAATTAAAAATACTCATTCATTTTTTGCTGCTGTTGCGGTTCTATGCCAACTTGTTTTTGTTTCTAATGTCTGATTGCGCATGTATCGATTTGCATCGAATGCATCGATAATGCAGTTTTCTATTTATCAGACAATTTCATTCTTAGACAATAATTTAAAAATATCTCGAAAATAAATAATAAATACTTATAATTTAATAAATAGAAAATCATTTTAATATACTCTAATACGTTTTCTAATATATACAAAGGTTACTCATTAAAAAATATATTTGTAAGTAGCAACGCATACTTGAACATTTATGATAGCGTCATCTTACGGTAAACAGAAGTTATTACGTAGATGCATAGCTGCAAGGTTAAGTACGCACGCGCAGACGATGCAATACGCATACAAACGCAAGATATGTACTTAACGAACGCAACAATGGCGACCTAAAGAACTGGCGTGCGCTTTTTCATTCAATATAATTTGACACCCCGATTAGTGTTTACGCTATCTGGATACGTATATTGATGAAGTTAATGTTCGTTGGTGTTAAAATAAATTATGTGACTAATAGGAAAACATAAATAGAAAGTAAGAGGCTAGTAAATTGTCTCTGATAAAAGTTAGTTTTAATCTTACCACAAGAATTCATGGTGTTGGCCTTTGGTGAAAAAACGCATAAGCTATGTTTACTACCATATCGCACAAACTTTAACGCACTGGTAAGTAATGACGTTTTTATTTTATGATGAAATTAATTATTTTCTTAAATAGATATTTATTTATAAGCGAGGAGTCATCCATAGTGAATGCTTTGAAAAAATATGTAGGTTAGGTTGGACCAAGAGACTGGCATCTATGCATAGTTTTCTTTTTCATCTTCTTACCCCCAGTACTTCTATATTGTTTTAAAATCACATTTAATACCATTAAACGGGTCTTCGTAGTTACACGTTATTATTATTAATGTTATTATTATTATTATCATTATAATTATTATTGTTATTATTATATTATTATTATTATTATTATTATTATTATTATTATTATTATTATTATTTCTATTATTATTATTATTATTGTCTACCTTATTGAGAATGTTTTTTCATCAATTAACTTGGAAATAATAGAAGAGTTATCATTTATTTACATAGTACCATGTGTACATGTGTGCGTGTGCGTCTGCGCGTATTGCCGCGTGTCGCGTGTGTGCTTGTGTGTATCTATAATAAATATCATTACTAATATGCCCGTGTCATTACGAGATGCCTGCCAATCGATGCACCTTTCAGATTAGCTTTGTTAATATTATTAGTCAGATTTAATTCGTATTTTTTAATTTAATATTACCAATGTTTCTCAATTTTATGTTTATTCTAAATTTATTTTTCTCCACTAGTATACACCATATTTTTTTCCTTTTTTAACAAAAACATATTAAAAACAATAAAAAAAAGTCGTACAAATGTTTCCTACTTGACTTTATTTTAAAATTCTAGCCATTTTTGCATTTCAATAATCCTCGACAGTTTATTTTCATAAAGGGTGCTCAAAATGATTACCCTTCAGTTTGTATCTGAGTTTCCAGTTGTATCATAAATTCCGCAATCTTTTCACAATTCCAACTATGCTTTGAATTTGTTGTCAGCTTTCTTGTATACATTCTCAAAGTTCTTCAACGCTGTCAATGGGTGTTGAATGCACAATTGTTTTCAAATGGATCCTCAAATAAAAATCTTATTTCCCTCCTTGTAACTTTTAATACCGAACATTGAAATTGAAATAACTTAATTAAATTAACAGAATAAGTAACATTAATAAGGATGATCATTTTGAAAAGATGAAATAGGGCACATGTTTATATGAACTTATTTTTATCGTTTTCGTGTCTCACGTATAACCGAACATCCTGTATATTAATTTTTAATAAAAATCATTCATAGTGGTGCTCATACGGCATGGTAAAATAGGGGAAGAGAACGAAGGAGATGAGCCACAATATTGCAGGCATGCCACCCTTCGCGAGGATGCCTTTGGGGGGTATGGGAATGGGTGTGAGCATGGGTCCAAGTAACCCGCATCCTGAAAATTCTGCTCACCCTCATCCTCCACCACCACCACCTGCCGGTGCGAATCCTAAGAAAAAAAGGCGTACCAATGCCAATGTAGCACAACCACCCCCGCAACAACCTCCATCTGCACAGGTATGACTATTCGTTTATAGATAGCTTTTATTCCAACAATATCTTCTTAACGCATTAGAGATAACCAATGTAGTCCTATGCCATTAAATATCATATTTTAATACAAATGTGTTAAAGAGATTTATCTATAATTAATTGTGTATAATTAAGGAATCATTTCTTTTTATTTCATTATTTTGTTTACTTTATAGGATTTATTACCACCACCTTTAAGTGGTTATGGGGATACGATAGTAGCAAGTAATCCGTTTGACGATACGCCACCACAAACTACTCAGAGTCCAATGATGCATGGTGGTCCACCGCATATGCATCCCCACCATCCTCATCATATGGGTGGACCGCCAATGCGTGGTATGAGTCCTCTTACTTCTATCGGTGGTATGAGTCCTATGATGCAGCATAATATGGGTAGTATGAGTCCGATGGGTAATTCACCTATGACAAATCATATGAACCATATGGGTGGTATGTCCCCTATGAATCATGCGCCTATAGGCGGTATAAGTCCTATGAATAATATGGGACCAAATATGCCGCCTGGTCCTATGAATTCCATGAACAATCATATGAATATGAGTCATATGGGAAATTCTCAATTAAGTGGCCCACCTATGGGTAGTCCGATGAATAATATGAACAGCGGGCCTATGGGTAGTCCTATGAATAATATGGGACATAGTATGGGAAGTCCTATGGGAGGTCCATTGGGTTCGCCGATGAACACTATGGGTGGATCGAATCATATGCAAAATGGACCAATGAACATGAACAATATGAATAGTCATCTACCACCTAATAGTCCTTTAAATGGTCCATCTATAAACAATGTCAATGTCAATAGTCCATTAGGACATAATGGATCTCAACCACATCCAAATCATATGGGAAATAATCTTAGTAATATAGGAAGACCTATGAATGGTCCCATGACCACCATGAGTTCCATGGTCTCTAATAATATGAATATGAGTGGGCCAAGTCAAATGAACAATATTAATATGGGTGGACCACCAATGAATAGCATGTCTAATATGAATATGAGCCATCACAATCAAATGGGTCATATGCAAGGACCAATGGGTACTATTTCTAGCAATATAGGAGGCGGCCCGCCTATGGGTCATGCTATCAATATGGGAGGATCTATGCCGCCTCATGGATTTCAAGGGCCGCCAGGAATGGGTCCTAAACCAATGCCTGTCTCTGCAGGAAAAGTAAGTATTTCGTCGTTTAATAAAGAATAAATTAGAATTTTTTTTTTTTTTCATTTTATAATTCAATATTTTCTTATTGTTTAACATCAATTGTTAACTTTTGCAGATATATCCTCCGGATCAAGCTATGGTATTTAACCCACAAAATCCTAATGCACCGCCAATTTATCCCTGTGGAGTTTGCCATAAAGAAGTACACGACAACGATCAAGCTATTCCTTGTGAATCTGGTTGTAATTTTTGGTTTCACAGGTATATTTCATTATTATTATTATTATTATTGTATTTTATAATGTTCTGATCAAACAAATGAACTAATCATAAAGAACAATAATCCTATGCAATATTATTTAACTGCCGAGCTCTGCGTATCATGTTTGATGCTATATTTTGTGTTTCTTATATTTGGGCTGTAAAACGTATCACACTTGTTGTAGTGCATATCGATAGATATTTTTTTCTTTTCTTACAAAATTACAAAATAGAAGAAATTAAATATCATAATTATCATATTTCAGAGTATGCACAGGATTATCAGAGACAGCCTATCAACTATTAACTGCTGAAATTTATGCCGAGTGGGTGTGTGATAAGTGCTTGCAATCGAAAAGCATACCTTTGGTTAAGTTTAAACCATAACACTTCTTGACCCGTCGTATATGCGACGCACGAGTGACTCTTTGTTAGCGTTTACACTTTGTACATGCACACACATACATGTGCGATTGCACACATACACACATATATACAATACACACAAATACACGAAATACATAAAATACATACATACAGTAAACGTCGTCTACTGATGCAGACGTTAAGTCCTGCATAAATATAAACATACGCTGTTTGTTAATAACTTAGCTTTAACTTGTTGAAAATATTAGGGAAAGTGGATTCTACAAACTTTTGAAACGAAATCACATCGAAAGTTTATAGAAATCAAAAAAGGAAGGAAAGAAGTAAAGAAAAAAAATTATTTTACAACCAATTAAAGATGAATTTGGAATTTTAATATCTGTTTCATAAGTTAATTTGACTATATATATATATATAATTTTTTTTTTTTATTTTAATTTATATTATTTTAATAAAATTCATTGAAATCTTTTAAATAAAAGAATACAGCTGTTTTATAACGATTTGACATGCTTATACGTATATATATTCTATATACGTACATATAAAGAAGTAAAATGAATTTCAGATTTAAGAAACGTGATAAAAATAATGAATTATTAAAGTGAACATTTTTTATCATTGAGGCCCTTGAAACCCTCTCTTCTAACAGCCAATTATAAAATATTACGTTTTCAAATGAAATGTTATCTAAATGCATAATATAAGAATTTATAATCACAGCAGTTACGATACAAATACAATGATTGTTTGTAAAGCGAAAACGAAAAATGAAAAAAAAAATTTTTATTACTAACAACGGGTACTGCATTATTTTTAGCAAATGTATGCATTACTGTAGGTAAACTGTTGTCCTGTGTTTATAACAATTGTTATATTATTATTATTATTATTATTATTATTATTATCATTATCATCATCATTATCATTATTATCTATTGATATTTAGATAAACATATAAGAATAATAACGATTTTTTTTGTTTCTAAGTGTAAATTTCTTTAAAACGATTGATTTTTGTACGACATAACTTGTATATAAATTAGGTTTGGTTTACATGGAAACACTAATTTTCATTTGTATTGACTATTAACATTTTTTTTCTTCTTTTTCAGAAAACAATTTTTAGAAGACAATAGAAAATAGCAAATAAATAAAATTGCGGTACCTATTTTTTTGTTAAGAAAATTTTAATTGATTGTAATAATAATTTTTCTATTTTTTCTCATATCAGTATGTCCAATTTATTGTTTTAAAAAACGTGTTTGAGAGATAAAAAAGAAACGAGTTAGCCTTGTGTCTGTCTTTTTTTCGACTGTTTATTTAGTTTAATTTCTTTTTTTTTAATACGTAATAAACAATGTAAATTACAAACTCAAAACTACAAAGCTAATAATGCATTTTAAAATTTAATACTAGATTAAAGAAAAATAAAAGAAAATAAAAATATTTTATACAAATCAAAAACTTTATGGTATTATAGAAATAAATTTTAGAGGGAAATACGATTACGGTAATTTTTATTTTTTATTTTTAATGAAAAATAAAACGACGACGTGAACTATAAGAAAATAAAAAATACAAAAAAATATTTTCTTTCTCTCCAACAAAACACATATTTCTTGTTATTAAGATTAAATAAAAAACATCTCGAACGCGGCATTTGTGCATAATATACATTCAATGTTAATAAAAAAGCTATATAATAATAGTATAAAAAATGATCTATATATATATATAATAATTAATTATATATATATAGGGTGCTTAAGGATAATAATCTATCATCGATTGTAATTTAAATCATCCTGGCAAGAAAATTTGTGCCATCGTTCTTATACTTATTTTTTAATTAATTAATTAATTGATTTTTTATATTTGATAATACATAAGTAAATAACGTAAAATAATAAACAATAGAAACGAATCGAACGAATTTTTTTTTTAGTTTTAAATTATTCTAATTTTGCAGGAATAATGAATTAATTTTATTACATAATTCGAATCGATATGATATTAATTTAACATTTGTTTAGTTGTATCAATATTAGGCAATTATTATTTTCACGCGCATAATTCAACATAAAAAAATAAATAAAAGCCTGCGCATACGATCAGAGTCAAATTATCAATACAAGTATCAAAAATTATAACGTAATTGATCATCATTGCCGTCTTTCTCTGATTCTTCGATTAAAGAAAATAATAATAATAATAGATAAAAAATAAAATAATTTCTGGAACGCGTGTTTGTCTATGCTAAATTTGTTCTTGTGATTGTTTTTTTAAATTTATTAATTATTTAATTATTATTTATATATATATATATATATATATATAACTGATACGCGCGCGTCGAACAGAACCGATAACAAAAATATAAAAAGAATAAAATAATATAAATTAAAATAAATAGATAAAAAATATTGTAAGAGGACACTTGAAATCCGAATGTGTAAAAATTAAGGGAAAAAAGAAATAAAAAGAGAGGGAGAAATATCACAGAAAATTCCGTCGGTAGCTAACACTGAATTAAATAAGAGAAAGAGAAAGAGAAAAAGAGAGAGAGAGAGAGAGAGAGAGCACGGATTGTATAGTTTTTTATATGTATATGAAAAATATAGCCAGTTATCACGTTTCTATTAAAAAAAAGCCTGTATTAAGCGGAATTAAAATGAGAAATAAATACAAATAAGAATAAAAATAAATTTTAGCATAATAATTGTTATTATTTTTCAATAATTATTATTTCCGCATAATACACGCATTTAAGCTTGTTTTATTGTAGTAATCTATGTTTCTTTTTATTATTTTGTATTTATTTTTTTTCGAACAAATATTTAAATGCCAATAATTTTAAACATAGAACACAAGATCGTATTATGTTATTATAATACATAAATACTCATTAGTACTGCAACGAATAGAATTATTATCTCTTCGTATGTTACTTAAACTTTTTTTTGTCTTAATTACATAAATTTTAATCTACGCATAAATCGAACGATCTCGTTCGGGTATACAACGTTTGTTTTTAAACTAATCGTAAATAGGGGATTAAGCTGATCGCATATCTGTATATACGTACATATTACACGTACATTTACATATATAAATACGTAAATAAATACATCGATGTATATTTATACAAATTATATCTTGCTTATTTTTATAATTTTCTTTTCTCAATCTAAAATGCATCAACAACGAGCATAAACAATATTTTATAATGAATCTATCGCACGATATCGCTTAATCCCCCAACCTCACCCCTACCCCCATGATAATTCAAGCGCACTTTACATATGTATACACGTATATACATAAATAGTATATTAACATACATATTTACATATGTAAATATATAATTCCTGCCTAAAAGAAAAACTCGAATAGCTTTACTTTTCGGTTTTATTTAATTTCAATGATAAACGCGTGCCACTAAAATAAAATGAATTAACAACGATGAAATTTGACAGGACACGTAAATGTTAATCAAATTGTTAATTTTTTTTTTATTTATAAGTATATACTATATACATATATACACGTATACATAGTACATAAATACATATGTATATATATGTAATCCTTGCCTAAAAATCTCGAATAGCGTTTTCTTTCAATGACTATTTCAAACTCGGACTGAAATTTGATGTGTGATGAGACACCAACATTTTAACAGTAATATATAATAATTATAATAATAAGAGGAATAATAATATAATAATAATAATAATAATAATAATAATTTTCTTTTTATATACAGGTTGCCCGAAAAAATCAGAATCGAACTAATGAGGTCAAGTAGACGAACAAAATTCATATAAACTCGTGTTCGAAAATGTTTTGCCAAATAATTGAAAACATTTCTAAGATTAGTATTCATTGTTTTGTACGAAGTTTCTGCTTCCCGCAACGAACGCAGGATTTTTATTCGTAGAAATAGCAGTAAATGCATCTAAAATGCATCCTCAAAAAGTAATATTCCGTTTGAATCACATTTTCACCAAAGAAAAATGACATTTTGTAAGGAATCTATTAAGTAGTCACCCATCATCTTTCCGGCATACATTTATCGAAAATTTGATGCCGCACATGTAAGGATTCGCGTTGCGTATAGATTTCCCTTACTTTTTTCTATACTTTCCTGAACAATTTCTGATTCTTCTAACTATTCGGTAAAGCATTTTTTGACATAAGTTTCTATAAACTTTTTTGATCTACCTGAGCTCGCTAAACACGTAAGACTAGTTTGGTCATCTTGTATATATACATGTGCTAAGACTATACGTGCATACACACGCATACGGGGATGCATGGATGTTACGATGAGTTTGAGAATTTGGAAAATGCGATTTTATGTAAATATGTAAGCCTTTCTATTTCTAACAATTAAAAAGAAACAAAAACCATTGATTAAATAAATAAAAATACAAAGATTGGTGGAAAAAAAAAAGTGTATGTATGCTTGTGTGTGTGAAAGAGAGAGAGGAAGATTTGTTTATGACGTGTGCATATGTATGTGGGTGCATGATGTGTGAGAAACGAAGTTTGACGTCATCATTACAGCCCCGCGATCGCTATGAAAAAAAAAAAGGATTAATAAAGAAGCAACTTGTAAATACATCTCGTTAATAACTCTATCGAATATACTGTGTTGAGTGTATTTTACACGACTTTATTGTTTTTACCGTATTCGAATAATATTGATATATTAATTATAAACGTTAATTAAGATGACGTGTTGAGATGTGTATTTAATTATACGATTGAAAAACAAATAAAAAAAAAAAGAAGATAAAGGAAGAGTAACAGATAAATTTAACATTTGCAAATAAATTTTTTATTTGTCTTCGTTTTCTTATGTTTAGTAAAGCGATAGCAAGATTAAACAAAAATTATAATTTAATCGAGTAACAAAATAAAGTAAAGTGCATTAGTGCATTAAAATAATTGTTAATTAATCGATGCATCGATCTATTATTGTTAAAAAGCTCGTAATATATGATCTATGCACTGTCCTTTTAGAAATTCACCTTCAAACTGGCACGTTGTTGTTTATGAAAGTACTTTTATTGAAAGTTATTTATATGATTTTCCGAACATTGCACATGTGTGCAACGGTAATTATATTCTAAAAAGAATTTCCTTATTTGGAAAGTCATATAAACAATATCTAATAAAAGAACTTTAACAGAGGACAATGATCCAGTTCAACGGTGGATTTCGAAGGAGAAGGTACATAGATCATATACTCCGAGCTTTTAGACAACGATAAACACTTGCATCGATTAATTATTAATTATTTTAATGCACTAATGCACTCTCTCTCTCTCTCTCTCTCTCTCTCTCTCTCTCTCTCTTTACTTATATATATTATATATGACTAATATAGTTTTCTTTTTGTTACAGATGACCATCGTTGGATTTATCATCAAACCTTCTGGATTCTTTTTTATTTGAGTGCCTTAAATTGTTTCATTTCAAAATATACGTATAAATTTATTGTTGAAAAATTCTATTACAATGTATTAAGACATTTGTAATAATTGGGTTGGTAAAATATTACCTACCTTACCTACTTTATCTTACTTGCCTACCTACGATAAAGTAGTATTCTACCCCTTATCGAGTTGATGATAGTATAGTTTTATTTTTAGCGCAGTACCGTCTATAAGGAAGGAAATATAAACATTCGAAAATTACTATCTTAAACTTTTTCTTTTGTATAGTTTTAATTATTATTTTGTAAATAACATGCTCAAATATTCATATTAAATATTTTTTTCCTCAAATTATTTTTCACGAAATTTGTGTTACTAGTTACACTCTATCAATGTATGAACTTTTTTATTCATATATATTTAATTACTCTCGTATTTAATAATTTTGTTATAAAAAAGGAAAATATTTTAGAAATAAATCCATATATTGTCATACCAAGATAAAAAACAAAGTACGTAGATATACTAGGGAATTTGAATTTATCACAAACCAGTTGATCTTCTTTGCTTTAGTCGGTAGCCATAAGATACTGATTCGGTTTCGATTCCTTGTAATTCGGTATCGCGAAAAAATCATATTGGAATTAATTTCGAGGAAATCTTTGCAGTGATCCATTCGTAAGTACTCCTTATATAATTATTTATTAATAATAATATATAATAAGCGATGTGTGAATATTTGTGCGAATTGATGTTTTATTAAGATGAATGTTTAAAAAATTGGATGGACTTAACCATTATGACGACGCGGTTTATAGCATGAATTAAATGAAATGCATTTTTCTATCGAAAAATCGATATATTAGAATATTATATTCGTACAATATATATATATATATTTCTTATACGAATATTATATATTTATTTATAATATAATATTTGTTGTATCAAGTATCACGTGACGAGACATGTAAATAAATCTATGATACTAATGATGATGATGATTATGATGCGGATGATGATGATACTAGAATTTTACGCTGTACTTTAGTATCAAGTTTATTCACGAAATTGTATAATTGTTGTCGTTTTTATTGAGAGAATATATTTATTCTCTTTCGTATATATATTTTAATGTCAATCGACATGCACATATATCAAAGTACGTTGATCAAAGTATGACTTTGCTTAAAGAAATCTATAACCGAACATCAGCATTTAACTGAATACCAGAATCTAGTTTTTAATTTTTAGAAATGTATTTACATATAAATACATATACACGCATACATGTATGAGTGCCAATATATATTGATGAATATTATGTAGTATATTACATAATTAACTATTTAACAATTGTCGCATGCAATGCGATCTCTTTGATACCGCTCTTGGATCTGTCCATTATTTGTCTTCATACATATAATTGTTTAATGATTTATATGTTTGTAGTTGAATGATAAAACGATATACATATTGTTCTTCTTAAAGAAAATTCTGCGAGAAGATTTTTTGGAAATCGTCTTTAGAATGCTACCAGTGTCATATTTTCTTAACTTTATAAGGCTAATCATTGATATTTTATGCCTTATATAAGTTAAGCTTGACACTTTATTACTTAATCTTACTTTGAATATATTATATTAACATTAAGATTACTGAAACAATTCTATGTCGTTAATCCAATTTTTTTTAGTTTCTTTATCAAAACATATATATGTTTATACCTTTACCTCGTTATTATTTTTCTAGAATTGAACGATATGCATTTTCATATCTGTTCTTCTAAAAAAGAAAAAACATTTTAAACGAACAAACATAATTTTCAATTCTCATTATTCACTATTACATGTATTATAACTTATAAGGTTTGAATAATACTTTATATCCTTTCATTTATTGATTAATGCTTAAAAATACTATTATTATATAATGATAAATGTTAGTAATTTTTATAATATTACAAGCATTTACGATCGTATTTATATTCATCTTATTATCGTTTATATTTATGATATTTATTTATATTTTTATATATGAATAGATTTGATGTATTGTTCCAATTATATTTCTGTATATTATCAATAGAAAATTCAAGATATATATTAATGGCGGAGTAGGTGTATTTATTTACAAATATAGATCATAATGGTTATAACAATAATGATTTTCTCTGAATACGTAATAGCGTCCGAATGGACTGCAGCCATCGAAAAGAGATCGACATGCATTAAAAAAAAATACAGCTAACGAGATATTAGCTAAAGTAATAGAGGATTAAAAATGCAAAATTGGAATCAATGGCAATTACCAACTGGTGCCATTACTACTTCAATGCCTCAACCACCAGTTGGTTATACCATGCCAGGAGCAGATCCAATGGCTATGATGCAAGCTTATATGCAATACTATAATCAGCCAGTAAGTATAAATATAAAGTAAGAAATTCTATAGAAATGCATGAGACATTTTGATTGCGAGATTTTTTTATAGAAACAATATTAAGTCTACAATGTTATATCAATTTTGTAATATTTTTCAGGCACCTAATGGATATACAGCCGAACAATGGGCCGCTGCTCAGCAACAAAATTGGACGCAATGGCAACAGTGGCAGCAACAGTATCAACAATGGCAAGCACAATACGGAGAAAAGGTGCACTATAAATGCAAATAATATTTTCTATTTAAATATGTTCATCCTTCTAAGAATTATTTATCGTTACATCGTAGAATATATTTTCGTTTCAGTATCAAGAAACAATGAAGCAAATGTCATCACAACATTTAAATTTATCCGGTCATGCACCACCATTACCAACAATGCCACCACTTCCAAAAGAGGATTTTAAACCCCCTTTACCTCCGAGTTCTGTTAATACATATCAATTCACAAATATCCCTCCACCACATCAAAACAATCTTCCATTATTTCCTACTAAGCAGCCCGTAAGTAGCGCGTCTTTGCAATTAAATGTTCATTCTTCCCAAAATCCACCTCTGCCTCCACCGTTGCCTCTGGAGAGTGCTCAGAGTAATGATGGTAATTCTCCTACAAAACGTAGTAGTAATACTGTTAGTGAATCTTGTAGTGCAAAAAAGTTAAAAAATGAAGACGAAGAATTAACTGATGCTGAAAAAACATTTGATGCTCAGTTTAAGCAGTGGGAAGAACAGTTTAACGATTGGAAGCAGCAAAATATAAATCATCCTGATAAGGTAGGTGATGTATATTGATTCATATTGCAAGTATATTCATTTATAGAATAACACATTGAATCTTTTGAGGTATTACCACAAAAATAAATAAATATTAAGATTCTATTTTTTAGACACATTATAAAATATATGAAGCAAAATGGACATCTTGGCGTGAGAAACTTATTGAACGTAGAGAAATGATGCGCAAGAAACGTGAACAACAGAAACAAATGACTGCTAAAGCAGATACTGAAAAAACAAAGAATCTACCTGGAGGAGACAAGATAATGAATATTTTATCAAGTACAGAAAATCAAGGATTAATTAACAATCTTTTAGGCATCGGGAAAACCCTTGGGTTAACAGGGAAACAAAATACAGGAACACTTCCACCACCACCTCCTCCACCTCAGACCACAAGCAATATTTCATCTACAACAATGACACCTGCAATAACTACACAGCAATCAACATCTCAACCTTTGAATACGGATACTGTATCATCTTGGAATGCTCAACAAGCTGCTCAGTGGGCAGCTCAATTTAATTCTGGAATGCAAAATTATAGCGGTTTTCATAATACTCCTGGATCGATCCAGCAGTCTTTTGGAGCACCAATAAGTTCGATACATCCTCCAAATTTCGCACTACCACCACCTAATGTGCCAAATGCAGGACCAAATTTTTTACAACCACCACCAGGTTTTAATAATAATAACAATAGTAATAATAATAATAATAATAATAATAATAATAATAATGATAGAAGACAACTACCGGACACAGGTGTGAGATCAATTTTACAGAACAGATCCTCGTATGGGTCAAGTGGAAATAATTTGAATATGTTTGGTGCTAATGAAAAAGCAAGTTCAGACATTAATCGTTTTGGATCCAATGATCCTTCAAATTTATCCGATTATTCTGGTAATTTCGATGCAACCGACAATTCCACTAATGATCGGATGAATAATAGAAAAGGATCATTAAGTAGCACTGGTTCGGAATATTTTAGGCGAGAAATAGATAAAAATTTATCCGAACACAATCAATTTAGATCTGATGGATCATTTAATTATGGTAACGTGAGATTCAATAGAGGAGATGAAAATTATAAATCGATAGATGAGACAGATATTGATGGGAAAAATTATAATAAACAAGAAGAAAGAAATTTCATGGAACATAGTGGTAATAATCAACTAAATGCACAAAATAGTTTTAATTCGATTAATAATTTAAACAATGATTGTTTTAATATTAATCGTTCTGGTCCAGGATCGAGTGATCGCTTTGGATCTGGTGCTGGGGATCGTTTTGGAAATTCAAGTGATCGTTATAGCAGCGATCGATTTGGATCAAGAGACAGATTTGGATTAAATAATACACGATTTGGATCTGTTAATGATAGATTTGGTCCAAGTAATAACCGATTTGGACCACTTGATCGTTTTGCCAATAATAACGATCGTTTTGGTTCTAGAAATGAAAGATTTGGTCAGGGAAGTGGATTAGAATGCGATAGATTTGGACCAGGTTTTGATCATTTTAGTGTATCATCTAGCGATAATGCTGGCCCCGGAAACAATAGATTTGGAAGAAATATGGATCATTTTGAACAAAATAAAGGAATAGATAATGCAAGAGATAATAATAATTCTCGCAACTTTGAAAGAAATAATCAAATTGAACCTAGCGATGAATTGGCACCGGAATTGAAAAAACTTATGGAAAAAAGAAGAGCTGCTATAGATGTATTTAAGCCTAGTTTTCACGATTCCGATAAAACTGTTAATGTTGGATCTTTACGTGAGAGTTTTAAAAAAATTGCTGGCGATTCACCTTTCATATCGAAAAGTTCTACCGACTTTGGACAAAGGGATTTTGGAGTAAGAGGAATGGCAACCTTTAGTCCTCGATTTAGTGGCAATTTTGAACTTCCGAATAATCCTAGATTATTTGGACCTCGCGGCCCTAATGATTTTAAACCGCACGGCGGCGGAGGTTTTGACTTTCGATTACGTGGTCATGCTAATTTTAGCCAACGTGACAAATCTTTTGATTCCCACGATCCTAATAGTCCATTTATTCGAGAACCCACTCCTAATTTTTCTAAATTTGATAAAAATCAAAGTATGTTTGGTTCAGTAGATGTCGATCAACGAATTGAGCAACAATTTGACAGAGGAGATCCTAAATTACAACAAATTAAAGATATACAGAATTGTGGATTGTCGAATGATAATGTATCTTTAAATACAGATAACATAATTACAGAGAAAAGACTAGATATTCCTGTTCATAAAGATGAAACAGATAATACAGTTAAAGCAAAAGAAGTATCTCAGACAGAAAAAATAGGGGAAGAAGAATCGTCAAACAATATTGCGGATACACAATCAAACACTCAAGAAGATAAAAGCACACGTTCGGATGTATTACCATTAGAAAAGCTATCTTGGATGGATGCATCATTTCCTGATGTTAATTTGTCTAAGAAAGATGTTAATGACACGGAATGTAATACTAAATCGTCCTCAAATTTGACCGTTCCTATAGAAGAAAATAATGAAAAAATCGACGAAAGAGTACAAGCAGAACATCAGTCAGATCAAAAATTAGAATCAAATGCACCAGATACAGAGCAAATTAATAAAACTGAAGTCTTACCTTTTATGGGAGAGAATGATCCAAAACCGGAAGACTTAAACATGGAACCTCCACCAGAATTACCTAATTTAGGTCCCATAACGGATGATTTGAATAACGATAACAACACATTTGCTAACAATCCAAAAATAAAAGAGCCTTTTGGTACAGATCGTAATTTTGTTGGGGAATTAGAGCGAAATTCTACAAAATATTTTGATCCAAAAAATGCGTTCAATCCTAGAGGCCCTAACGATGGAAGGTTTTTACAACAGCCTCCTCCTAATAATGGACAATTTTCTTCATTAGGACCAAATGATATAGAATTCAGGTCACGAGCATCCATTGGCGGACAATTAAGTGTTAGAGGACTTAATAATAGAAATTTTGGGCCGTGGAGAACGAATGAAATGCCATGTGATAATAACAGAGGATTTACAGATACACAGTTTGGTCCTAAAGGACCTATTGACAGATTATCTAGTATTATAAATATTAATGAAAGAAATTTCAATAATAGAAGATCTATGGATGGATCGTTTGATCCTCAATGTTCTAATGACGGGTCTTTTCCTTCTGGACAATTTTCACATCACAATCTACAAGATAGAATGCTTGGTCCTCGAAATTTAGTAGAAAGACATTTCGACATACGTAATACGGGATTAAATACTAAACCATTTGGACCTCGTGGTGGACCATTTGAAAGTCCTTTCGAATCTCAAGGTATAAATAATGAAGCGAGTACACGTAATTATAACAACAGATTATGTAGCAATAGATCACCCTTTGGCAATAAACCTTCTGGTGCATTTGATGGTGCACTTGATAGTGGTAATAATGATATTTATCAAGACAAATTTAATGAAAATTATTTAGATAGGAAACTCGATCTAGGTATTACTGATACTGGAAGTAGTATAGGATCAAAGTTAAATTCTGAATTGGGTAAAATGAATAAATCTGATTGTAAAACGTTTTTTCAAAGCAATTTTAGTGACACTGCTTCTAGGTCACAATACGGACCTGATTGCCCTATTAATCTTCCATCTCACGAATTCAAAACTAACATTCTTAGTCAAATTTCTCCGTTCGATAAGAAGATCGTAGAAAAATCTGGTATTGATTCAAATATCGTTGGAGATTCTAGAATTGGTTATGGAGAAATTTCTGCTGGATTAGATTACAAGTATAATAATTCTCCTGCTTTTATGAAACGACCTATCGATAATCCTCAATCTTATATGAGAGGTGCACCTAATAAAGAATTCTGTATAGAGAGACAATTTAATTATAACCATGGCGGTGCTACAAAAGATAAAAAATATACTGAGCATGTACCTGTTAAAGTAATCGATTATGCTCATGCTCCTCGCACCATAATGCAAGAACATCTAACACCTGTTCAATGTTTTGATTATGGACATGGAAAATTAAAACCTGTCGTACCAGATCATGAATTGTTGCCGAAAAGAGACTTTAGAAATTGGGAAGAAAGCGAACAGAACTTGAAAGAATATGTAGAAAAAATGAAAACATATGAAAATTCAATGGTGATAAAACACGAACATAGACGAAAGACAAAATTAAATGAGTCGAAAGAAAGCGATTGGACTGCTAATATTAGAAAATATGAACGAGAAAAGAGAAATGCAAATGACAAGAAAGAAAGGGAGTGCTCTCAAGAAGAAAGAATTTATCCTAATGTTTCGGATAAGGAAAGAGATGAATCCAAAAGAATTCAAAGTGATAAAATTAATGATAAAGGTAAATTAACGCGTTATATATGTATTATATAATAAATTTTCTTTTAAATTACCTCTCAATTCGTCATTTGTACAATATTTAATTTGTTTATTGAGTTTACAAAAGATTTCAAATAAAATTACAAATTATTATCAATCTATTAACATAAAGTATATATTATATAGCATAAAAGCATAATATTTTACATACATCATTTTTCATTTATATTTTTCTTGGCCACAGATAGAGGCCATGAGAGATGCGAACGGGTTCAAACAGATATAAGCAAAGAAAATGACAGAGAGAATGACAGGTAATGTCTTTTCAGGAGTGTCAAAATAATATGCGAAAATAGTACATTTCAAATGTTTTATATCGTCATTAATAGTGTCCACATGCATTTTCGAATTTAAAAAATCATTGGTATGATCAGATAGTATTATATCTATCTCTTGTACATTTACATTTGAATTAGTAATATTACATATTTATATTTTATGAATATGTCCTGTGTCTTGAAGACATTTAACTTGCTTTAGATCAAAAGGACGTACTAACTGGCAGGAGAATTCAAACAAGAACACCATAGAGACTAAATCATCAAATACCAGGTATGTTAATACAATATCAATTCAAATTCAATTATTTATTTAAATCTTTAGGATATTAAACAATGGATACTTCTACAGATTTACAATATTTGTAAATGTAAGAAATTACATACATATATATATAAGAACTTTTTTCAGCTAAAGTTCATTTTTCTTCTTTCTTCCAAAAAAGAAAAAAAAACATTTCTTACGTGTATGTANTATATATATATAATTGACTTTCTGCTTTGCATAATTTTAAGACGGTTTAAACATTCTTATTATATGTTACTATCTCTACTAAACTTTGATTACTTTAGTAGTCCGTCATATGAGTCGAGTCAGTAGAAGTAAATAAAACGTTTATGTTAACCGAGTGATAAATACTAAGTATTAAATCTATTGGTTGGAAAACGATAGTCAATAGTTGAATTCAGGAGTGAATTTACATTGATCGTCGTTAGGGTTTGCTTTTACCCATTTCAAGAATCCCACCCTGAAAGTATTATAGTATCTGATGGTTGTGAATACGCTCCTGTTTCAACCAAGTGCATTTATTTAGTTTTACTAATTCAACTCATTGAACAGACTATAAAGTTATATTTTGATAAATATATTCTGCTTGAAAATTGAAGTATGTGGTATAGCCAATATGCACATATTCCTTCATAATATTCAAATAAGTACCTTGAAATATGGCAAACTTTTGCTACTTTAATTAAATTAATACTAATGAACTAGAGAATACTTGTATTCGTCCTTTACTATTTAAACAAAAATTTAAACGCTCCATCTGAATCTTTTATCATGGTGCGAGATAGTTTAAGGATATCTTTTTAAACTTTGGAAAAATATCCATGTGTAATATATAGAGTTGCATAATTTTTATGCATACAGATTTTGATTTATGTTATGATGTGATAAGACGCGTTAACTCGTTACTCGTAACGATACGTTGCAATAATCTTGCTACTCTTTTCGTGTGATGTGTAACAGTCGCATTTTGATTTATTCTAAGGCGATTTTTATCAAGAAATTTGAAAGAAATGTTTTACACTACATTATATTAGTAAGCTTACAAAACCAGATTATGTTTTGAAGCTTTATAAGTATTCTTATTTTAACAAGGATTTAATTTTTTGTTTTTAATTAATTATTCGCATACAAATGAATAATAGAAAAACTAATATGATGATATTTATTGCATTAATTTAGTTTTTAATGACTTGCATTGAAAACTCATTGTTAACAATATATTTTCAATGCAAATTATTTATTTAATATTGCAGCATAGGATTATTACATACAATGAGTGTTTGATTTTCTTCTTTGTATGTTTTAATATTCAAGTTGTAATGATTAATTGAAATTGAAATTATTTTAATAAATATCATATTTACTTTTACTATATACGTGTAGATGAAAAACACAATGCTTATAAAATATAATATATTTTAACGTCAAGAAATTGTTTGTTACAGCTTTACAGATAAACAGCAAAATGTATCAGAATTACCATCCAAGACTTTGGAACTGGCGAAAACGGCAAACTGTACAATGGTGGATGATCTACTGTGTCCTCCAGGTCGTCAAAATAGACCATCTAAAATAGCAATTATTTTAAGGGGTCCCCCTGGTAGTGGCAAGTCATTTGTAGCCAAACTAATTAAGGTATGCTTTAAAAATCACATTTTTCATTTTTCATATCGTCGTATATGAGAACTATTATTTATTTATTTATTTATTATATATTTTTAATATATTTTCATATAAGGACAAGGAAGTTGAACAAGGAGGCTCTGCTCCGAGAATATTAAGCCTTGATGATTATTTCCTCGTTGAAAAGGAAATAGAAACAAAAGATGACAATGGGAAGAAAATAATAGCGAAGGTACTATTCGATATACATGATATTCTATGCAAATCCATAACTATTATTTTAATTGATTAGGAAATGGTTTACGAATATGAAGACGCAATGGAACCAAGTTACATAGTGTCGCTTGTGAAAGCTTTTAAAAAAAATATTACCGATGGCTTTTTCAATTTTATTATATTAGATTGTATTAATGAAAAAATATCGGACTACGAAGACATGTGGAGCTTTGCAAAAAGTAAAGGGTTTAAGGTATGTAAGACGAATGAAATTGAACGATTTGAAGTTAATGAAATGTTCTTTTTAATTATCTTGTTTAAATTATATTTTCACAATACATGTTTGTTACTTACATAGGTATATGTATGCGAAATGGAAATGGATGTACAAATCTGTTTAAAAAGAAATATTCATAATCGATCGGAGGATGAAATTAATAGAATTGTGGATTATTTTGAACCTACGCCTAGTTATCATCAAAAATTAGATGTAAATTCGATGTTACAAGAACAAGCAATCGAAGAAGTACGATCAATTGAATAAAATACTCACTACGAATATTGATTAAATTTGTATATATCATTTTATCGTTTTTATTCTAGGTACAAATGGAAGATAGTCAAGAAATTTCAGATAAAGTGTTACAACCAAATGAAGAAAGTCAAGATAGTCAGGACGATGCTCCAGAAATGATTGTAAATTTATATTACTTTAAAACAGTTTTATTCCAAAATTTCTTTCAATATTCTTTATATATTAATTTTTAGGGTATTAGTAAATGGGAAAGAATGGAAGCAGAAGATAAATTAGGTAAGTTAAACAAATTATTTAATTGATGCCTATTAATGCTGACTAATATGATTGAAATTTTTACAATTATGTAACATGTTAATTTATTGAAATATATATTATTATCCCATTTACATTCTAGATCGCTTAGATGGTTTAGCGAGAAAAAAGAATGAGAGTAAACCACAAACGATGGAAGATTTTTTACAAGTTCCCGATTATTATAATATGGAAGATACATCTGGAAAAAAGAGGGTATGCAATAGAGATCACTATTGCTATAGTAAATTTATATTTATTAAATTGAATGCATTATTATATAAGATAATTATAATAATTGAATTATAAACGATTGGTAGGACTGTTTAACATTATAGGTGAGATGGGCAGATTTGGAGGAACGTAAACAACAAGAAAAAATGCGAGCTGTTGGTTTTGTTGTTGGTCATACTAATTGGGATCGTATGATGGATCCTACAAAAGGTGGAAGTGCTCTAACGCGTACTAAGTATATATGACACTAAGTTATTTTTAAAATATTGGACATAACAATAGAAAATGAAACAAATAACATAAGAAAGAAAAATAAGGCGCTGCATTCATTAATAATCATAAATTTTGTTCTTTTCTTTTGTTTATATTTAATAACGTAATATGAATTATTATTATCGTTATTTAAGAAGAAAGAAAACCGTTTTAGTTTTAAACATTAATTACATTGTTCAAATATTCTAATACTCTAATATCTGCTTATCGTTAATTCAACAATTGCTGTCCAAAAAATTGTGAACTGTATGATCGTTAAGATAATATTGACAAGTAAGAAGATATTAATGCTACCAAATTATTATTATTACGTTATCTAAAACAGTGCATTTTAAGTGTAATAATTAAAAAAAAGATAGATTTGTTTACAGAAATATATAACCATAAATATAAATGTTACTTCGTATATATATATACATATATATATATATATATTACATATATATATATGTAATCATAATTTTATTATTCTATTCATTAAGATCAGAATAGAAAAAAGTATAAAGGAATTAATATTTTTGTTATATATAGCTTTTCCTTCTCTTTCAAAATCTATTAAGTATTTATTCACCGATCATTCTATATCATTTGTTTTATATCATCGCGAAATAAATTATTATTAATTGTAATTTATAAATGAGTTAGAAAAATAAAAAAATCGAATATCGTAAATTTTCAAGAAGATAGTTGAAATTTTAACCGGTAGATGTCGGGAGATGTATTAAAAAGACAGATCTTGCCAATTGATATGCCGTGATAATTTTGACGGGAATAAAATTGTCTTTATTTTTACTTTGACTTGTACCGTACGCTACCGCCATCTGATGAATAAGTTTGGAAGTAAGTTTCGCGCAGGGACTATGACATCCCTCACCCCTAAGCCCTCGGCAGTCTTTAAAGCGCGGGCTACAGTTCAAGTTGCATTTTAGATGTGAACGAATGCACATCGTTTTCGGTTATACGGGGATGAACTTTTATTTCGTGTGAATATCGAAGAAAATCCTTTTTCGCTAAGGTTTTTTCCCGGTTTGTGTTCATTGTGATTCGTCTGGTTTTCGAGTCTTACCTGGTGTTTTTAGGTGAGTTTTTTAATTACTATTGTTGATTATACGAATAAAATATTTTATTGTCACATATAGAAGAAAAATTGTCAGATATTCTTTTTGCAGTTTCTTCTCAGTTGACATGTTTAAACTAATTTATATAATAATATCTTCGAAATAGAAAATAATTACTTAAAAAAAATGACCTGTATCAGTATTTTTCGAAACGCAAACCTTTCGAAGTAAATATTAGTTTAGATTGGATAATATTTATTCGATTACATAATAAGATATTAATAAGAGTTTATATTTGCTTGAATTATCTGTGAAATACTTTTCTTTCCTTTCTTTTTTTTATCTAACGAATTGTACACACAATATACGAATGTTGTACGTATGCACATGCACATGCACATGCACATGCACATGCACATGCACGTGCATCCCTCGCAAGATGTCACGCGCGGATTTATCGGACCATTTTCGTTACGATTGATGGAACTAATAGTGACATATAGGTTGGATTTATTTCTATCGTATCAAGAGTGAAGTGTTTATTAATATTCAAAATATCAAACTAGTTTTTATGGACGTTTGATCATGAATTTTCAGAGTGTTTCATTTCTGTCTGTATATATCTGTCTGTGTGTGTGCATATGTGAAATTGGTGTGATCGGAATTTAGTTTTTATTTTTAAGTTTGATTAAATAAAAATAGATGAATTGTTATTTTTATCGAATTTTTATTAGGTTTGAAGAAAAATGTGAATTAAATTTATGCGTGTATGTGTTTTTAAGAATTCGCCGGCCAAAATTAAGATTTTTTCAATTGTAAATATGCATTCCGTACAATTAAAGTTTTATTTTGACATTAATATATACACACACAGAGAGATACGCATGCACATAATGTACACATTATGATTATGTGATGTACATCGAATACATTAATATCCTTACGTCACGTAAACGATCAGTATTGTCCAACGAGGTGTGCGTGAAAGGTATCGCGTTTGTAGTTCAATGATAGCTATCGTCTCCATTTTTATCGCAACTGGCCGTATTAAAAATCGTTGAATTTCGTGACGGGTATACATTTAAAAAGAAACACACGCAGAGCACGGGCGGAAAAAGAGGGAGAAAGTGCGGAGACCAAACCGGATATATTATCCCTACGTGGTAATATAAACTGTGCGAACGCATATAGCACGAAGAAGAGTATCCTCTTTCCTAATATTTCCTCCATTTTCCTTTTCCTTCCCTCTTTTTATATCTCGTACACGTATCTTTTTTACTGCTGCTTTATTATTCCCTGTGAATTTCTCTAACTTTTTTTCTAATTTTTCTAATTTTCCTTTTTTTCTTTTATATCATATTTTTCCTAAAATATATTTTCATGAATATCGTAGAAATGATTTTTACGTATAGCTATATTGGATAATTATTTTTTCGTGTATATTTCCTTCCAAATTAATTTATAATTATATATACATCTATGTGCGTGCGTGCATGCAAGTTTTCCTATCAATTCTCTTCAAGCTGAAAATTTTGCAATGTCAAGGCAATCTCGTTTGCATATTCTACTGTGTTTAGATCGATGGTATAATCGTGTATGTAGGTTATTTCAAACGATTATTTCATCCGATTAGTATAATATTCGAAGCATCTGATTTTTTTTCTTTCATCAATTAATGTTACTAACACTAAACGTTTAGTCTTGAATATTTCTAATTCTCTAATTGATTATTGTCTTGTGGACATTTTGATTATTTTTCGTTAAAAAGAAAATGGGTATTATGGGCAGGGATGTAAACGTTAGAATATTCGAATGTGTTAGAAGAAGTAACGCAATGGTCACGTAAGGGTATAAAAAGGAAGAAGAAGAAGACGAAAATAAGGATAAGAAGAGGAAAAGTTATCTCTCGCAAGGAATCATTCTTAACGTTATCCTGTTCACTCGATTTACGTTCGATTTTGGTCAGGAGCCAACTAATGTTCCGAGTAAAGCGTTATTTGCTTTCAAAGTTTCCATGGGAAAAGAAGAAAACCCAACAAAGCTTTGCGTTTGGTAACTAATAAGAAACAATTAAATGCGTTTAAAAATCTTGATCAAATGAAAAAAAGTGATCTACTTCTTCTTCTTCTTCTTCTTTATGAATAATTTATTTATTTATCTTATCATTCTTTTAGTTTTGTCGTCGAATAGTAATTTAGTATATATCTTATGGACTACTTTAGTTGCAGGTGCATTAATGCAAGAGAAAGAACTATGTTAGATTCTTTGCGTGTTACGTTCTCATCGATGTAGCAATACATTATTCGTAAAAGGTGTAATTACCTATAGTAGATTTAGCGTACTATCTAGCGTGCTCGATAAGTATTTGAAGATGTTAGATGGGAATCGTGTGAATTTTTATTTTTTTATAATCATTAAAAAAGATCAAATAAAAAGACTCGAATTGAACATATAAATTGATATGTATTTCTAACACTTTGGAAGTGGAAAATAAGTCTGTTTGAAGTAAGGTGTGTAATGTATGTCATAGATCGTTGGAACGTAACACAATATATATATATATATATATTTCCATACATACATGTATGCATACATATATGCATATAGATATAGTCAGAAGGAAGGTAGCTTTCAACTTTATCTAGTCTGCATACACGTACCGAAATTATTCTAGCGACGAAAAGTTCGTCGCAAGTTTCTCTCTCTCGGTCTCGTTGGAGACTCGGTGTACTATAACTTATGTTTCTCTCTAAGAGAAAGAGTAACAAGTTGAGAAAGAGAGAAAGAAGAGTTTCAGAGACAATATAAAATTCCAAAGGTAACATTTATGTAGGTATATAAATATATACCGTTCTAAAGTATTTGCCCAACCCGAAAAAGTCTACATTTGAAGAAAAGTATTTTTTTATTAGCGACAACAAAAAATGATTCGAAAATAAGAGGAAAATATAAAATAATGGTAAAAAGAAAAAAGGGGGAGCCTGTTAGACTTTGTAGGCCGATCGAGTTAAATCGAATAAAAATAAACTGTTAGATATCTGGTTTTGTCGGGACGATAACGTTAACCAAGCGGATATAATTCTTACTCTCTTGCACGTTTACTACTAAATTACTGTTCGAATCGATTTCCATTCTCTCTTCATTCGTTACATACTGTACACGTGTAATACATATACGAGAGTTTGGTGAGCCAGTACAACCACAATTTATTTGAAAATCTCAACAATGGCGTTCTCATTAAGCTACTTGCTTTCGAACGAACGGTATTCTCTCTCTCTCTCTCTCTCTCTCTCTCTCTCTCTCCCTCTTTTCATCAGCTGACATTTGTTTGCCGAAGAGATCTGTTCGGGTTTCATCGACGAATAGGCAGAGAGTATGTAGCACTATAAGAGAAAAGAATTTCCTTTTGGAGCAAACTGATTGGTCCGATCGAAAGTCGATACGTTTTCGATCGAATTCGAAGCCCACTATATCGACTTTCGAATAGACCAGGTAACTCGTGCTAGATAGACTAGTCCACCACCCTAGCCTAGCTTGCTAGCTTAGCTTAGCGATTTCATCTAAACGATTAAACTCTTATCAAATTCCTCTACCTTGCTAATTATAATAATGAACTAAGTTACAAATAAAAAATAAATAAAGGAAGGAAACAATTGATTATCATTTGATTACATACTTTAATTAGATACGTGGTTTGGCATTAAAGAGCCCTTTATGCGTACCAGCTGGATAGATATAGTTAACTTTATAGATTTTCCTAGTTGCATCTCGCACTACGGAATTGCAATTTATTTAATAAGAGCCTCTAATCCGCGCTACATCGCAATGCATTAAGGTAGTTACGAATTCCTTCTTGTTCTAATCGAGTTACAAGTTTCTGACTCTGGCACGAGCTAACAGGGAAATGTTGATAATGGTGTACAAACTGGTTCTGAAAAATGTTAAGAGAAAAGTGGTCATATTTCATTTTCTTCTTGATAAACTTTCAATTATCCCATTTTAATATCAATTAAGTGTCTTAATATTACGCTATTCTTTATCTCCTATCTCTTTTTTTCCTTGCGAGTTGAAATTTGTTAAAACTTATTTTAAATAAATCCAAATTTATATCAATAATTCTAATTGTTACAACACACATGTGCGGAGGAAACTTTGTTCATATAAATACATCATAATTCGACTACACACAAAATGGTACTAGCACATTGTAATATTTAAAACAAGGTAATAGCAATCAAGTCGAGTGTAAAACAAAAGGAAAAAAAGCAAATGAACTTTTATAAATATATAGCGACAGAAACTTTGACAAGTGAAACATGCGTGGAGATTGGAGGTATCATCGCGAACGATAAATTAAATTAACGATACGTGCTTTATCGTCCAGAAAATCTGCTTTGACTATTTTTCTCTCTTTCTTTTTTATTTTTATATATATTATATTTTTTGTATAACAATACATTTTTCCAAAATTGCACGAGCTCCAACAAATTAAACGTTATTAATTACTCCTATTCCAGGATTAAATATTATATTTAATCGTTTTTTATGCATTACGCTTTTCAATTCCATTTTACCACACCAAGTTCTTTTTTTTATTTCCCGAATACACAGAACCGTATATGAATATACTTTTTTGTTATTTTTATTAGTTATTTTATTTTTGTCAATAAAAAATTTTCCAGAACTTACCCTCGAATTTCCGATACTACAGTAGGGATTGGCTTTAAGCTTAGTCGATCCTTCGAAGGATTTATGAGGATGATTATGAACGGAGCTTTAGCATTCATTACATTGTATGTAAATCGCGAGGATTTCTAACGATTGAATTTCCCATTCTTTATCGATACCTACGCTTCCTTTTCTTCCTATTATTTATTTTAATTTATTGTTATCACATTTCCAATAAATCGTACAAAGATTACGCGTTTGGAATTTATTGCAATTTCGGAAAAAACTATGCGTAAAATTTGTACAAATGATATACACATATAGATATAATTTTATTCTTTTTCTTGTTTTGT